GACATAAAGAACCGCTTTAGATACTACTGAGACTAGGTTATAGTATGAACTTAAAATTGCCAAAATATACATAAACTAACTAACTTAACTAACAACGATGTTAAATCACACTAACAAATGATAGTAAGTAATGAGAAATGAGATTTTGAGAAGTATAAAGGAATAAAAAGCTGAGTTTGATACTTAATCAGTTTTGCAAATTTAGACAAGACAATTAGAGGAAATACATCAACTAACACGAATAGCACCGACACCTTGGGCAGCAGCTACGGCTGCCATTGTGGGTCGTGCAGAGTTGAGCATCACTTGATGCTGTTGTAGCGTTAAGCCCGTCTGCGAAACCGCAGGTGGTCCCCTCGGCCCTGTTTGCTGAACTCCCAACCCCACCACTGCTCGCTGATGAGCAGCGTTGACTGCCGCCACAGCTGCCTGTTGTTGCTGGCGTTGGGCAGCCACCATAGCCACATCGACTAAGTTAGAATTCATTATTGCACCAGGACCGGTAACAGACGCTCCAGTGGGCAAAATACCTCTGGAAGCGATGGCCGAAGCAGCCGCAGCGGCAGCTGCTGCTGCAGACATAGCTGCAGGGTTCTGTGCTGCAGAAGCTGCATTCGGGCCCGGTGGTTGTTGCCTAAAGGCCTGCCCAATACCCATCCCTCCGACTGCGGCAGGAGCTGCAGGGTACGCGACTGCAGGATTTAAAGGAGTCGGAGGAAGACCCGTAGGTGGTGCACCAGCTTGGGGAGGTGGGATAGGAAAGTGACCTGCTAAGGGAGGATTAGTTCGAGCTGCGACAGCAGCCCCGAGGGTGTGATGGGCTGTAGAAAGGGCAGGTGCTTGCAACGCTGCAGTCTGGCGGCTCCATTTGGGCTGACTAAGGACCTGCGGGTAAAAGCGACCATGTTGGGCAAAGGCAGCTGTGGAAAAGAAGCTGGCGTTAGGATGAGCCGTAGCTGAAGAGATGAGTGTGTTGATGTTGCCTCGATTGTAGATTCGTTGGTGATGTTGGGCAAGTAATTTCATCCTACGATCCTCCTTCTTTTGAGCAATAGCCACATATAGAGGCTTGCTACCAAGCACTGCGGCATTCATCTCTGAGACCGCTCTTGTCGCGCCATCAGGCATCTGGAAGCATACGAAACCAAAGCCCCGTGAACGACGGTTAGAATCGACCATGACCTTGGCGCTAGTAATAGGACCAAACTGGAGAAAAGCAGTCCTAAGTTGTTCATCATCAATGGCATCGTCGAGGTTCTTGACATAAAGATTCACACCTTTATCGTATTTAGACTGCCTTTCCTGTCTTTGCTTTTCCGCACGTTGTTTAAGTTCTTCCTGGCGTTCTTCCTTGCGCTGAGCACGACTAACGTATAGCTGGCGGCCATCAAGCTCCTTATTATGCATCGCCCTTACAGCGGTCTCAGCATGATCAGGATTGTGATAACAAACAAAACCAAAGCCCTTCGATTTTCCATGCTCATCCTTCATTACTACCGCACTTTTTATTTCACCGAACTCGGAAAAAAGAGAATGAAGCTTCTCGTCATCCATATCAGGGCCAAAATTCTTGACATAACAATTGTTAAATTTTTGCCGACTACCCTTCGGCTTTCGTTCTGATGCTGGTACAAAATTACCGACATAAACAATACGGTCCCTGATCATCATATTATTGACATTTTCGATGGCGCTTTTGGCAGCCTCCTCAGTCTCAAAGTGCACGAATCCATACCCTTTGGAACTTCCATGATCGTCAGTAGCTATCTAATATGCAGACTTAGTATAAAGGTGGCCTCACCTTGCACGAGAGAATTTTTCCAAAGTATATGAACGTGTCATAAAGTTCTTTTTGTTCGATGGATTTATCCAGATTTTTAATGAAAACATTCCCCTTTCCAGACTTTCGTAGAGACGGATCGCGTTGAGACCACATGATCCTAATTGGCCTGCCCTCCAGCATGTCATAATTCATAGTTTCCAAGGCGCGCTCGGCTATGAGAAATAGAGAACAACGTATGCTTACCGTCTCTGGGATCAGTAAAATTCACGTATCCATAGCCAAGAGAATCTTTGGAACCGACGTCGCGACAGATACGGGCACCGAGAAGGGAACCAACCTGGGAAAACTTGGCATAGAGCGTAGTCTCCGTGACTTTGGGGTGCAGATCTCCAACATAGAGTGAAGTTGGAGGAATCTCGAGGGGTTGCATCATGGACGCCGTCATTTTTGAGAAGTTTTAATATATTTTGCGATTTTTTTGTAGTTTTGTATAGGTTTTGGTATTTTTATTTGGTTTTAAGAAGACGTATTCTGTGGGCCACACTTTCTCATAGGCTCCAGGAAGTGAGGGGTGACGGTATCAATACAAACAATTTAACCAAAAAATCCTATAAAAGCAAAGCAATACTACAATGAAGATAGTTAAAATTTTTAGAAATAAAAGCTATGGTAAATATAGGATAGAAACGAGCTTTAATTAACAGAACCTCAGTATTGTATGGTAGAAAAAATGCTATTTTGTGATGAAGAAAATATTATTGAAATATTAATTCAAATTTTTTATGTTTCGGTGAGAACATATAAATTTTATTAGTATCATGCAGATACTTAAAATATATCACTTTGGGAAATATTAGCTCCATAGGCTTAAAAGGAAATTTTCAAAGGCACCTTAGCTCAAATCCCTGCCCAATTAAGACTATATTTTATGAATTTCTACTTACTTATAAAGTGAAAAGGAGTATAAAAGGCCGCTAATTGTAAAAATTTTATATTAATCAAGACTAATATTCTAGGTTAATTAGGAGGACCCATATTAAAGCCGAGAAATTCACCATGAATTTCCCTCACTTAGTTAGAAAGGCAGTTAATATATTGTCTCTGGTTTCTTTCAATATAGCACTCTTTTACTTATCTTTCGATAATATTCGATAAGCTATCTTCTTCAAGACATTGGACTGGATATCTATGTGAAGGTTCTTAAGCTAGAATATTGTGTCCATATTCTATCTATTTTTAAATTCGGACAAATATCATACCATTTAGAAATAAAAATAACGTGAACACTTCGTATATCTGTTACCTAAAGAGTTTGGTCCTAACGGACTAATCTGAAAATGGAAGCCTTCGTTCAAATTTGCATTTAAGGCAAATTAAAAAAAAATTATTTATTGAATATATTAAGTCAATATCTGAAATAGCGTTGGGTAAATGTATCAGCCTCAGACCGTCAATCAGGGAGAAGCCAATTTGAGGAATAAAAGAATTTAACTACATCAAATAAACGCTAAGGAGTGACTTATGCCCTAATAAAAACCTGCAAATCGATTTCCACTTCGCTTGCTGAATCTACTAAACTTTGTAAAGTTTTTGGTCTGTTATGAAATTTTGGAAATTTCTCAGATTTTTGATGATATTATTTCAAAAATTCGTCAGTATTACTAAATAAGGTTATTTTCATTGTGGATAATTCGTGCTTTTGCACCTATATTCCCCAAGGGGGATAGGGATGCGCTCAGGATGCCAAATGCGCTCAGAATGCATCAGAACGAATACGATGCGCATGGAATATCTTGCCCCCTTCCGAAGTTATACCGTCCCAAGTTCACGCCCATCAATTCCTTTTATACTTAATACTTGCATAATGTAATTAATATCAGAACATAGCTAAGCAATTTGAATCTAGTCAATACATTTAGGGTTGCATTCACACCTGTTGAGTTGTCCCTCATATGCCGTTGTTGGAGTCGTAGTGAAATTATTTACCTAATCCTTAGTTTCGGGACGAATAAATGATTAAAATTTTAGATTCTGAACACAAAGACAAAAATTTTTCAGTGATCTAATTTTGTTCTTTTTCAAATTCTAATTGTGGGCCAATAACTTTCTATAAATGATTTACTGGTAGTCTTGAAGCCCTACCAATAAATGAAAAATAATTTCAAGTAAGTTAGAGCCATTTTAAAAATACCTTCTTTCATATGCCTTTTAGGGATGATCCAAAACCAATTATGGCTTTTATTTTGATCTGCACATATTTTTAGGTAAGAGAAATATTGATTGCATAACATGTATCATGTAATTACATTCTGCCTAGTCACACATTTCTAACATAAAGCAAATGTTTATGGAAGCTATTACGGAAAATTATTGTTTTCAACTCATCAACGACCTAATCTCAGATAACTCAGATCAGATTGTATTCCGTATTTAGAGATTTATTTAAATTTTTCTTCAGTTTAAGGCTTGCCTACTAAAAATTGTAATGCTTTAGCTTAAAATAGAGCTAATAATGACTAAGAATTTTACTTTAACACATCGACTG